ACCTCGTCTGATTTAATCCTCCACCAGCCGGCCAGGCTGGAGCCACATCTGCCCACCCTTTGGTGCTGGAAACCCAGCCATTACTGAGCACCCGGGCTGGTTGCATTTCACTCTCAACCCCCCCCTCCCCGGCCCTGGGATTGAGTCTTGGGGCTTATTTTGGTAACTTGAACTCGGGAAACCTCTCGGCCGTGGAAAGGGGAGAGAGGAGCCTTGTGAAATGCCGCAGCAGCTGGGGGCTCCCGGCGTTCCCATGAGGAGCCCCACGCGTCTTCGCACAATCCCTCGGGGCTTTACATTGAGCATTGGGAAGGCTGGGGAAGCGAGGTGGGGGTGCTGGGGAGGTGCACCCCACCCCTTCTTGCAGCTGGGCACAGGGCTTATCTCATGCCTCAACAACCTACCTGGCATTTGCAGAGCATGGGGGCTCCTTGTCCTGGTCCCCTCTTTTGGTCGCATTTGTCCCCATCTCCTGGTTGTTCTGGTCCCCTCTTCTTGTCCCACTTGTCTCCTGCTCCCGCTCATCCCCAGCCCAAAGACTTGTCCTTGTCTCCTGGTCCCACTTGTCCTTATTCTCTGGTCCCACTGGTACCTTCTCCTGGTCCAACTTGTCTCCATCTCTTGGTCCCATTTGTTCCATCTTTTGGTCACATTCCCCGGTTCTTCTTGTCCCCAACTCCTGGTCCCATCTCTTGGTCATGCTTGTCCCCAGATCCCGATCTCATTTGTTTCCCTCTCCTGATCCTGTTGGTCTCCTGGTACCATTTGTCCCCTCTCCTTCTCCCACTCATCCCCATCTCCCTGTCCTGCTTGTCCCCTTTCCTTTTGTCCCCTCCCCAGCTCTGCTCTCCAGGGCAGCAGAGGCAGTTTTGGTGCAGACCCAGCAGGATTCAGTGCAGACTTTTGGGCCCAGAGCCTTTCCCCACTGGGGGAAGACCAACGCAGCCCCTGAGCCCCCCTCACTGGGTGACCTGGCGAGCGCAGACGAGAGGGTAATGCGATTTTGGCCCGGCTGTGAGCTGAGTCCCAGGAAACTCATGTCATGCAAAGCAGCTCAGTGCCTTGGATGCTGTTGGTCATCCACATGGTGGTGGTACCCGGAGTCCCATGTGGGACAGAGGGGCTGATGTCAAAGAAAAATGGGGTAAAACCAAGCACTTCAGTCCCAAAATCAGGCACTTTGCCCCAAAGCAATTTCCCATCTGGTGCAACCTCGGGCCCAGTGCTGGACCTGGCACCAAATTGCTCCATTCAGCATCATCTTGGCCATCCCCGGGCACCATTGCCCATCCTGCCCCATTTCCTGTGCCCGGTCATGGGTTTTTTTTTTTGTTAATTTCTCTCCCATGCAGTGATTTCTCCTTTCACAAATGACCTGAAAGTGGAAAACCAGTGAGAAAAAGCACTCTGAACCTGGTTAAAAAACATCCCTGCGAAACGAAACCGTTTTCTGCCAAACTAAATATTGGAAAGACATATTTGCAAAAGGTTTTTTGTTTTGTTTTGTTTAGTTATTTATTCCCCTGTGCAGAATCCGGCTTGCTGCAACCCAACCGTGCTTTCCTCCACAGCATCCACTAACCCCTCGACCCACCAACCCCACTTCAAAAATCCTTTTTCCCCACTTTTTTTTTTTTTTTTTTTTATGGCAGATGGATGTTGAGGGGCCTCCCCTTCCCCGGGCAGCGACATTTCCCAGGCAATACGTCATGTTTGCTTAAGAGCTGAGTTATTGCCGGGGAGGAGGCGGGGAACTGTGGCCCCGGGGGGCTGCAGGAGGGGGGAAAAAATGGGGAAAATGGGGAAAAAAATCCTGCCCTTCTTTTCAGCGTCCTTTGGGAGGGCTTAGAAAAGCTTTGTGGCCCCTCTTAAAGTGGTCTCAGTGTTGTTTCCCTAACTTTTAATTGATGTGTTTTTAAAGCCCAGTTGTTGAAATGTTATTAAAATGTCTTGATTTGCTAAAATAAAAGGGAATGGGGAGAATTTGGGACTGGTTCTTTTTTCAGCACTGGAGCAGAAGCATCTCTGGTCCCCCATGGTGGGTGATGCCTGGGGGGATTAATGAGCTGCTTTTCTTCTAGAAAACATCATTTTTAGAGAAAAACAGTGTCCAGGTGAAGCAGAACCATAAGTTGGGAGAGGGGAGTGATGGAGGGGTTACGGTTGGGCCCCTGTTTTTGGTTGGTGCTGATGCTGGAGCCCTCAGTGGGTTTTTGTTGGAAAGGTTGGAGGAAAAAACATGGAAAGGTGGTGGCAGACTGTTTGCCAGCAGTGGAGATGGGATCAGCTGCTGGAGTCTGGATCCAGGACATCCTCCAGGCCCCATCCTGCAGGCACGTTCATGGCCCATTCTAGATGATCTCCATGTTGCATCCTAGATGAAGCCCCAGGTCCCATCCCAGCCTACCACCCAGGTCTCTACCCAGTGATCCCCAACCTAATCCTCATCTTCCACCACATGCGGCCCAGCCCATCAGGTCTCATCTTAGATGATCTCCCAGGTCCCAGCCTAGATGATTCCCCACATCCAATCGCAGGTGATCCTCCAAGCCCCATCCTAAGCAATCCCCAGGATGTCATCCCAGGGGACACCTTTCCCCCGCTCCAAGTCCCATTTTAGTTGATCCCCCAGGTCTTTTCATAAGGGATCTCCCAGGCTTCATCTGAGATAACCCCCAAGCTCCATCATAGATGGTACCCCACATCCCATCCCAGGTGACAAGTCCCCCAGGTCCCATCTTAGACGACCCTCAGGTCTTATCCGGAGGGATCCCCCAGGTCCTGCCCTAGATGATCCCCCAGGACCCATCCCAGGTGACTCCTATCCCAGGTCCCACCCTGTGATCTTCATCCCCAGGTGCAGGGGACCATCCTGACCAGGCTTTGGGGTGAAAATGCCCAGTTTCTCTTCCTGGTACCCCATGGTGTCCCCTTTCCACCCTGCAGGGACTAGTTCACCTCCCAGGCACTGTGTGCATCACCGGTACCCATCCAGTCAATTTAATTGCTAATCAATGCCTAATTCAAACCTCCCTGTGAGTCATGGATCTGCCCCGCATGGGGCAGTGTGCAAGCTCCAGGATGGATCCTGCTGGCCCCATCAGCTCCCTCACCTCCAGCGGGACAATTTGGGCCTTGGAAGCTGGATTTGGGAAGCAAAATCCCCTCCTTTGGCAACACTGAAGCGAACAAGACCCTCCCACCCATCTGTGTCCACCCTGAGCGACTCCGGCGGAAACCTTCCCTCTGTCCTCCCGAGCATCAAATTGAGGGAGAAATGGGCAAAAGCATAGATAAACTTTCTTCTCCGGCCCAGTGCCACTGCTGATGGGCCTGTTTCTGGCCGGGGTCCAGCCTCCCGTTAACGACCGTTGTTAAGAAAAAAAACAGCTCTGGATAAGTGGCGTGAAAAAATACTCTGGTAATTAAACAACCCCAGAATAGAAGGAGAAAAGGTCAAGCTTAAAAATACAGGGTACGGTTTTGCATTGAAACGCGGCATTAATAAATAATCATGTTTTTGGGAAGGTCTAATTTTAGCAGCTCCAGTACAATAGCCTGGTGTGACCCCTTTGCTTGTCTTGATCTTGCTGGATTTAGGGCTTTTTTGTTTTTTTTTTTTTTTTTTTTGCCTGGCTTTGCCCTGCTCTTGTCCCCCTGCAGAGCAGGTTGGGTGCGCGAGCAAGAGGGCAGCACGTGGTGAAGGTGCTGGGTGCTGGGCTGGGGGCTGTGCCTGGGGTGGAGCGAGCGTGGGTGTGCTCAGCCCCGCTGGCCGGCGTGCAGGTACCTGCCCGGTTTTCCCAGCGTCGGGAAAAACAACCGGGATTGCCAAAGATCCCGGCCCCGGGGATGGGCTGGAGATGGGGGGTGAAGTCCTTGTGGTGGCCTGAACATCCCCAGAGATGTGATGTCCCTTGTGAAACAGCTGTGCCCTGCTCACGCCTGTTCGCTCATTAGTGACTGAGCATTAATAAGACCCATTATAATTAATTTTTCTTCAAACCCCGCCATGTAGGGAATCACCCTAGCCTGGGGCAGGAGGGCTGCTGCAATTGGGTTTCACCCTCTTTGTGGGGAAACTGAGTCACGGGGAACATGACGGGGTGGATTACGGCCAGGAAAGGTGAATCCCACTCTACTTCTCTACGGGATGAGGATTAGGGCTAAATCCAGCTGCCAACTCTCCTCTTGGCTTGGGGAGGAGAAAAGGCCCCCCGACACCCTGGGCATGCAGATGGAAGACCCCAAAAGTGATGAGGGTTTGGAGTAGGGATGGCCACAACACAGGGGGCTGCGGCTGGAGGGTGCCCAACACCCACGAGGGGCATTTTTCCAGCTTGTAGGGAAGAAGAATGGGGGGAAAGAGGATGGGGGTGATGTGGGGCTTGACCCTGGCTGGGATATGCCGATGTCAGTGATTTCGGGGGGTTGTTTTTTAGCAGGGACCCCAAAGAGAAGCTGAAGGAAGCATTGGCAACCATGGGGGGACATTTCTTTATTGGACTCAGCGCGATGCTGGGGGATGCGTGGTGGCCACCGGCACCTCTACGGATGTGAGAGGTG